ACTAGGATCTTTTTGACCGGAGACATTCCCCCAGCATTCCACTGGAGGATCTGAAAACGTTGTGATTCACCCTGACGAAGGTGATTTTTCTTATAGCCTTTTTTAAAGCTAATCATAATAAATAGAAGTCAAATCGAATGCCGAGTGATAGATTTTTTGTCGTAAGAACATACGTTGACCAGGGTGCACCACGTGGAGGTAAGTCTATCGCGCACCCCAAAGCTAAGATAAAGGAATGTAGAAAACTCTATCAGCTGCTGAGAGAGAAAAAAATAGTGGTCCCACAATGGATTCCTGATCATTTTGGCATTTAAGGCAATGCGATAATTGACACAATTGCTTAGAAGGGGACGACGATTTTGTAAGGCATGGGCCGGTTTATGTCTTTTCACACAATGAAGGCCTTAATCAGGAGAGAATTCCATACCTCAAGGTGCAACGAACCTATAGCTCAAACAAAGGAGAAACATTGGACAGTGCCTTTCTCCTACATAGCCGACTGGCCGTGAATCCAAGCCGTTGCTGAGTTAAGACTACCCCGTTGATGAGTTTAGACTACGTACCGAACACGATTGCCTATAAACACCTTCACAGATTGGGAGTATACACTCAACTCACATGTACACCTTCACAGATTGGGAGTATACACTCAACCCACATGGACCTTCACAGATTGGGAGTATACACTCGACCCACATGCCCCCTATGTAACCTTCAGGAGGAAATGGAGATGACCCACCTGATTCGATGATTAGCCCTAAAGGTAACAACCAAAAGCTGGAGTCAAAGTTTATGGGCTAATGATAAATATCATAAAGCCTGCTATTTGAAATAAATAATATTTTAAAATTACTACATCTGTCGACCGAGTAAATGTTCATTGATAGTCGTCTTTCTGTGTTGTATTCTGTTGGATCAAAGAATTGAATTGTTGGCACAATAACCTTTGAAATCAGCTCGTTTCATCATTTACGCTTGTGTTATATGATATTAATTAAATGATTTACTTGTTAGGTTTGCTTCAATTAACGAACTGCACATCATAATAAGTAAACATTTAATGATTTTCAAGTGGGGTGTGCGATAGACTTACCTCCACGTGGTGCACCCTGGGCAACGGATTTCTTACAATGCGACGAATCGACCGGAGTTTTCATTTGATATGTCAAATAGCAATCAATTTGTTCGATAATCTTTTACCTCGTTGACAATTAGACACATAATAATTCTAATTTTAATAATACTGATTATTCTTATCTTGCTTGTTCAGCTTCAGCCTACTTAAAGCCTATAGATACCAGTAAAAGTAGGTAGATGAAAAACGGATATCTTTCATTATAATAGTAAACAACAAATATATACATTCATGTATATATATATATATATATGAATTGTTTTAAATATATATATATATATATATATATATATATAAAGGCAGGACTTTAGTTTTGAACATAAATAAAGAGAAGTAATAAGCTTTCATGAACTTACATGGAAAAAAAGTCCACCCTGAACGTTTTCTCTATCTTTTCCATATAACTGCTGCATTTATGCTGTCAATTATTTTGGATAGTATTCCACAAAGTGAGCAATTAACTTTGCTTAGGATATTTTGCACAATTCAGCCTCAGCAAACATGTCAAGGCACTAAATCCGTTTCGTTAGCTTCACTTCCAAGTGGTCATTATAATATTGTGATGGCTTAGAATATGGTAGCCAAATTAATTATTTTAATGGTTCAAAATATTGAATTTGTTTCATAATCTCATTTATATTCTTTTATTTTCAAAATCATTTGTGACATTGTTTCAATATATGTTATTTTTTTAAAAAAACGGACATTAATTAAACTTGAATGTATAACTTCAAGTTTAGAACAATATCGATTCGATTTAACTTAGTTACAAATTAAGTGTCAGCTTTCGAAATTTAGGCCAATCACCATTTTTGTACTCAGGTTGTATGTGGTCCTTTATTTCCTTGTGTGCGAAAATGAAGCCAAGCAAAACATGATGTTACCTAAAGGATAGAAAATATGACTTAGAGTTTTGTTTCATTATCCTTAAGTAATTTACTTCATTTTGAAATGCCAATTTATTGAAATAAGTTTCAATAGTTTAAATTAGCCAATTTATTCGCCTTAAATTAAATTCCTTAAAAAAATTAAGGTCAATGATGCACCTCATTCACATGAAAGTATTGATGAAATGCGCCTTGTTGGCGTTGAGGCACGTGAAGATATATGATGTTGCTAAAAATTATTAAACAAAGGTAAATTTTGGGTCACACAAAACGATTTAAAACATTTCGTCATTACTGGCATACGGCACGCAACTTAACCCAATTCTTGAATTGAATAAATCTCAGTTGGAGTCGTATAGGAGAGTGTTGGAGCAATTCAATTAAATTTGAATTGTCAACATCATGTGGTCTGTGTAGAAGGATGAATTGTGTCATTCTCATGTCCATGACCGTAGAGATGGAAAACGGGAGCATTAGATGGTGCAATATGTGAAATGAAGACATGTGGCCCAATTTAGTAGCTGCAGAAAAATATTTCATTGTTTGCTGAAGTGTTCTTTTCAAAATCTATTTTATGTTTAAACCTAACATTACCATACCTAAGTGATATCCGCCTGTGAGCCTTTTAGTTTTATAAGAAAAATATCAAATATAGAAACTATTTATCCTTTAGGATGAAACCCTTGAAAGCTTTTATCATTCCGTGTTGCTCAATAAATGACGATGCAAATACCAATCAACGCTAATATGATTTAATAGGGATAAATTAATGCAAAGAACTAATCGCTTAGTATATCGAAGCCAATATTTGCTGTTTCGATTTCAAATGGTGCCTTTATTTAGTTCTCCGCTTAAGCTGCCCTTTTTAATGTCGTACTGCGATTGCGAATTCGGTTGATTATAAAAAAGAACTCAAAAATCTTTAGTATAAAGGTAAATTAAAAACAAATATTAGTTCAAATGAAGTTAGAGAAACAGGATCCATTCTATCCACTTTACTTTCCTCAAAATTACACAAATCGAAAGAATTTAAAAGCAAAATTGATTTAACAAATTATGTTAGCAGACAAACCATTTTTCGATTCCAACAGTGCTGTCTCTAAAATACAGAATTTGTCAAGATTGTGCTATTAATATTTATATTTCCGCTTCAAATTTATTAGCACTTATTTCAGCCAACTTTCTTGGCTCTCAAGAAAATTTCATACTTAACCTCATACTTTACTAAACAAAGCCAAAATTTTTCCTCTAATTTTAAGATATAATTTATGAATAACTGGTTTAAGAGGAATTAGGTAATCAAAAGATTTAGGAATACTCGAACGATTCCTGTTGCTCTACATTTAATACCCATACAAGTGAACTGTGCTGGCTCTAAGTTTTGAAAGCACATCTGATTAAAATTGTGTAAACAAACTGATTTTTAATAATTCAGCATCAATCAATTTCTTGTAGTAAACGTATTAAAAAAATTGATGCATGAATTAGATGCAAAATTAGCAGAGATCAATCAATCTGTTTTTTAATAAACCATTATGGAAATATGCCACTTTTTCAACAATGTGGCCCTTGTTGAGATGACCGCGAAACAAAAGAAAGCAAAAGTAGGCAGACAATGCGTCTTGGAGAAAACATTTTTTAATTGGTCTTTGCTTGAGCATATTCAATAGAACGTGGAGCTTCTATTTTGAGATCATTATTTTTTAGAGAACAAAGTGACATTCAAATTGTAATATATGTTAACTTAATTAATTTGTCTTTAATGTGCTGTTTAGACAGTAATAATTTTCAAATTAAAATTAATTGCAGTTGTCATTTTATCTAATTAGAATGTGATAGCTAGAGTAGTTCTAAATCTAACTCACCACAAATTGTTGTCGACGCTGTAGACATTTCTACAAATGCCAAAATTGCCATGTTTAAACTTTCTTTATTATGTGCTGATCATGCTGTTTAGATCGTAATGATTTTCACTTTGGAAATAAATGCCTTGACCCATTCGGCCGATTAGATCATGATAGAAAGATAAATTCAAATTTTCATGAAATAAAACATGTTATCATATTCTGAAATTCCAATTTAATCACATATTTTTGAGTCAAAATTAATTGCCATGGTCGAATTCGTTAATATGGCATTTGAAGATTTTACTTGCTTGCTAATTTTCTCTAGTGGAAATTTTGGGACACGTCATCGCATGCCTGCACGCCAGGATTGGGAGGTGCGACCGAACAAACAGTGACAGATCATTTGTTTAACCTAATCCGCCATCCTGATCATGATTAAGCTTCCTGCGTGCGCACTTTATCTGCAACAAACCCACTGAATAAACGTGCTCCGTGCTACACGTCTGTTTCCTTACATAGCTTAGCTGGTTGTGGGAGTCTAGCTAGATGTTGGAGAATCTGTCATAGAGATTTCTGAGTCGGTCAGGCTTTACTAAGGTAACAATTCGATAAAAATTGGTGACCCTGACGTGATTGCCAAAGCCTGATTTTAATCGCTTAGCAGAGAACCAATCTCTCACTAGCATCGGGATTTTCTATCCTCGTCCCTCAATTCCCTCGGTGATCTCTTCCCGCTCGAATGATCATCACCTTACTTCCGCTGCCGTTTCTCACGACAAGTCAGACCCTGACTTTCGCTCAACAGAGACTCCATCTCTCATCGCCGACGCGATTGTTCTTCACATCGCCCTACTCATCTGGTGGTTCCTTCCCACGAACAATCAGCACCTCAACGGCACCCCTACTCTCTCCTTTCACTGGCTTTGACTGTCACAGAACGCCCTTGGAAACAGGCAACAGCCGGAGCACGTTGCGTTTCGAATGTCCATCTCTACGAGATTCAAGAACCTTGTCTTTGTGCCCAATGGACATAACAGCCGGAATACGCTGCTCTTTGAAAGCCTACCCTTACAGATCCGCAAAACTCCAACTCACAGCTGTATTTCAGCCGGCAAGCCGTGACCGATTGTCATGCAAGCACACGCCGGAATATTTCGACCATGGCTTGTCGCAACCAAACATCCGTTCAACATGAACGTTGAACACCGATCATTGCATATGGAGGAACATCCAACTGGACGCTCGTCAATGGAGCAAATACTGCCACAGGTCCACAAGCATGCAGGTAGTCCACAATCCTACTTCCTTCAACTCCAAAAATCCGGTCTCAACAGTTCCAATACCTATCCAATACTCTAAGGCCGAAGATCTACCTTCCCCTCTCAACTAGTTGATATTGTACATTGACTAATTTTCGAGCGCTTCTTCACTTTTCAGCTTCCTACAAACGCGCTAGGGGAAGAGTATTTTTGGGACACGTCATCGCATGCCTGCACGCCATGATTGGGAGGTGCGACCGTACAGTGACCAATCATTAACCTCTGTTTGTTTAACCTAATTCGTCATCCTGATCGTGATTAAGCTTCCTCCGTGTACACTTTATCCACGATACACGTAACCTGCGTGTGCACTTTATCCACAATATACTCTGTGTGTACACACTTGATCCGCAATATACGTCCTGAATAAGCGGGTACACTTTATCCACGATACACGTAATGAATAAACGTGCTCCGTGCTACACGTCTGTTTCCTTTCATAGCTGGGCTATATCTTAGCTGGTTCTAGGAGTCTAACTAGATGTTGGAGAATCTGTCAAAGAGATTTATGATTCTTTTAGGCTTTAATAAAGTAGTATTCCGCTACAAAATTGAATCATTTAGGCTTGCAGACAGGATGACTTTGAAATTTGTGCATATTGAAATGAGCAATTGCAATTAAATTGTCTTGAAATTCAAACCTAACTGGATTTTTTTCACCTGGTGGCAATCTTAAGTGGAATCTTTAGTAAATATTGTAAAGAATAGATTTTAGAACATTTCTTGATTTTTACTAATTAAACATATATTGGACGAAAACTTTAACCGCTTTAAGAAAGCCAATATATGCAGGATGTCACAATAATTAGCTATTGTTTATATTATATTAGTTTTCAAACTGTTTTTAAAATTCAGCACATATAAATGCATACTAGCTAAAATTTCTGACTACTAGTAATTCACAAATATGTATATTAATATTAATAACTTACTTGTCGTTGTAGAATGGGTACCATATTCTATTTTTGTGGAAATTAGGAATTTGTTAAAGTTCAGAGGGCATGTTTGTTTACAGTTATTTAGACTGGAACAAACTTGCACATTCCGTTTTATCCGGAGAATCTCCTAAAGTCATAATATACTTCTTGAGAATGTAACTTTAGATGAAATATTTATGGTAATATAAATTGACATACCTCCTTTTGTCCAATCAATAGTAACTCCCACCCATGATACATCAGTTGAAAAAGACAAAGCAGTGATATTTTCAATTCCTTCACGTTCGTAAACGTGTTTGAAGTCCAGAGTATCATTAAGATCGTTAACAATTGGTCGTTCTTAGAAAAAAAAATTTTCCAATTAAAAAATTTAATTTAATTACAATTTTATCTCAGCCATCACTTACGACAATTTAATTTAGATTCTCTACCAAGGTTTGCTCCTAGCCAAGTGCAAAGTGGATCCTTTTTGCCTCTGACCAAGTAACCCTTGAAGAAATGAATTCGGAATTTTTAAGCTTAGATTGAAATTAATTTTGCAATATGGTTTTAGTTTATTTAATCAATGACAAATTTATGTTTTATGTTTTCGTTTTAATTTATTCTATAATGTAAAGCTGTTATTTTATTAAGTTGAAAGCTCACATACATAAGAATCAAAAGTCTTGCTTTTGATTGAAAAATTGACCTCAACTGATGTGCGATCTTTTGCATAAATTATGAAAGGATACGTAGCTTCCAGAATGACTGTTCCTATAAATTTTGATGTATTTGTATGAAATAAAGTGCATTATTTGAAAATAACAAATGAAATATATCACAATTTATAAATAAACCTTAAATGTGATTACCTTCTATCGGAGTTTTGAAAGCGCACTCCAGTACGAAGTTGATAACACAAATATGTTTTTTTGCTTCGAAAATTAGTTGGTCCGAATTGGGTGCGTCCTTCAATGAAATATATTTATTGTCTTTATAAATATGTTGGAAAATTTTGTTTAATTACCGTCACTGGCATAACAAGGTCCTCAGGATTGAAAGTTATTCATTTGGCATTTCTCTAATTTAATTCGAATTGCTTCTTTTCGTCCACCCAAAAAGCCATAAATATGCTAAAGATGAAATGAATATTTTTTGGATATAGTTATGGAGTACACTCGTCTTATCTGCCACAATCAACAAAGACTCTGTTTCGTGAATCGGCGAAGCAACTATTTTTGAACAAACTTCTTCGGCTTTATTCAAATCCACTTTTCCAAAAGCGGTCTTTATTTGCAACCACGCCAGTACTAGTAGAGTGGAAAACATTTGCTTTGGAGTGTAGTTGAGGAAACGGCACAACATTTAATACGTTTCCTGAAAAGCAGTTGATCAATAGCAATTATTTATTGTGCAAATAGAGAAATAATGTAATACTCTGTGTGAACTAAACGCCCTAGTTCCCAACCTGTGTTGTGTTAATAAATTTTTTTGTGTTTATTAAAGAATTTTACCCCTAATTTCTCCATGGATCTGGATAAAGGGAGTGCCACTAAATTAAACTAAACAGTTTGAAACTCCACGTTAAAGAATTTATTTTTAATTACAAATGAAAACACTATAGTATGAGATTTGACCCCATTGATCTTGATATATTGTTATTAGGTGATCAGATTTGAAAATAATGCAAAAAAAAACACAAAAAAATTTCTACCAACACCATATGTGGTAAAATCTAAATTAATATAATCTCATTTGGAATTGTTGAGCCAGAAGAAAATTTGATTGCACAAATTTGATTAAAGGAAAACATATAATATCTTGGCGAGGTACACTAGAAGAGTTTTAACTAGAATCAATGCAGGTGTTGGAACTTCTTTGCACAATTTTGAACGAAGAATTTCTAGAAAATATATACAAGTCGAGCTGAAATAAAGGTGATACGTATAGTGAATCATTTATGCAAAACATATCAATATTAATCTAGTTGATATCTTTTTTCATTAATAATTTCAATATTTTTTTTTAAAAAAAATGTTACTAGATGTTATTACGAATGCAGCCTTCAACTATTGATTTAAGGCAATCTCTTGCGAAACGTTAGGTGAATATAATAGACAACAGTATACAATTACCTATAACAAGTATAATCTCCGCCAACTAAGAATAGAACCAAATAGTTACAATGTTAAACTAGACAAATGATTAAATTCATGAAACATACAAAGTCATTAAAGTTTATTTGATCTAAACAGAGTTGCATGATTATATTATTAGTTGAAATTCTGCAAAATGTAAGCAAATTTGAAGGCTTGTTAATTAGTTGGCTTGAAACCCACAAGTAATGTCTAAATGCCATGGGCTCGAATTCTACAACCTGTAGTAAAGATTAACATTAGCTGCAAAAAATGGCGATAAAATTTTTGTCTTTCCAGTTTACACCATTGTTTTTTACTCTTTTGATATTCACATTGATGCTGCTATTGTTGGCAAAGTGGCCTTCTTGAATTGTATTTGGCGAACATTCAGTTTAAGAAACGACGCATATGGAACGCTAAATATATTGTGAATTGGTAGCTGAAATAAACCGTGTTGTTATTAAAAATACTGCCACCAACTAAGGATTTAGAACAATCTTTAAACAGAAGTTAGACCAATAACATAAGGAAGCAATCCTCATTCACTTAGCTCGGATGGTAAGATTCAAATGAATGATAGCAATATAACAATATATCAAAAGAGTTGTGATATTCAAGAAGCCTTTAGAACTGGTTTATGGACAACCTATAGCTAAAAAACAATTTGTTTTATCTTACTCCGAGATGGAACAAAAATGCAAATTTTTCAATCATTTTTATGGCATTTCTATCACACTCATTTATGCTAATAATGCATTGAAATAAATCAAACGTTGCAGAAACTTTTATACCAACATAAACTATAAATAATACATTGAAGCCAAAGTAGGAGACTCAAGGTTATTTATTCAATTGTTTTTTTATAACAAACAATGTTTTCATAACGATTTTATTTCAATATGCAACAATTAAATAACAGCACCTACACGGTAATTGATAAAATTCAATAAGTTCTCAAATAAATTCGATCAATGATTTATGCTTATTCATCTGCACATTCTTACTTGATTATACAATTTGATCACAGTTTGCAAACTAGTCTAACAAATTTTGTTTCATCTACATTTTTCCCAGCATTCACTATTGTTAATAATTCATTTCTTATTAAGGCTTCATTTAGGAATAAAAGAATAATAAATTAAAAACTTAAGTTGTTGAATATGAATGAATTATTAATATGATGGGGAGCATTATCAAATCAATTAGAAAGATAAGGAAAAGAAATGAGCAATGCTCTTTCAAAATACTAAGATTTTTAGACAAATCAAATGTTTAGGATTTCGCCAACATTTGTTAAAGGATACTCAAAAATATCACTAGTTGATCAAATTTTTACTGTCTATATATCATATTATTTCATTGGTTTCTCAAAGTGTTTAAGAGAAATCAGGTTTCATTCTTGTAATTCAGTCATTTGAGCACAAAATTCATTTGTCCAGGGAATTGAAAAATACAATTTAAATTCCCAAACTGTTGAAATTAGAGGAATTATACAATTCAGTCATTGAAGACCATTATCAAATTTTGCTTAAAATTTAAACCGCTTGTTTAATAAAGCAGAGGCGTTCAGTTCAAATTAAGTCAGAATGATGGAAAAATAAAGTGTCAAATGTCATATTGTATTCTCAGAGTAACTGCAGTAACCGAAATTGGCAAAACTCTATTTTTAAACTGTCAATGCGCAAAAAGAAAAAATGAGGTTTTATTTCTAATATTGCAATGCTCTATAGAAGAAAAAAATTTCGTTGTATTTATCGCCAAAATTATTGCATAAACCTCCTCTTTGGAGATGTTTTCATAGTTCAGGTAACAAAGGGGTATTGAAATATCAATCAGGTAATTTCCAATTTTGTAAGCTTTGAAATTCAGCAAAACGGTAGCTCACAATTTGAACATTTCGACATATAACAGTTGCCAACTCTTTATATGGTTACGTATATTTAATCGTCAGCTTATCACACCTTATAGTTATTTTCCTTTTGTCG